GTAGGTAACATTGAAATCTGGTACCTGTTAGAGGTAGGTAACATTGAAATCTGGTACCTGTTAGAGGTAGGTAACATTGAAATCTGGCTGTTAGAGGTAGGTAACATTGAAATCTGGTACCTGTTAGAGGTAGGTAACATTGAAATCTGGTACCTGTTAGAGGTAGGTAACATTGAAATCTGGCTGTTAGAGGTAGGTAACATTGAAATCTGGTACCTGTCAGAGGTAGGTAACATTGAAATCTGGTACCTGTTAGAGGTAGGTAACATTGAAATCTGGTACCTGTCAGAGGTAGGTAGCTTTGAAATCTGGTACCTGTTAGAGGTAGGTAACATTGAAATCTGGTACCTGTCAGAGGTAGGTAGCTTTGAAATCTGGTACCTGTTATAGGTAGGTAGCTTTGATATCTGGTACCTGTTAGAGGTAGGTAGCTTTGAAATCTGGTACCTGTCAGAGGTAGGTAGCATTGAAATCTGGTACTTGTTAGAGGTAGGTAACATTGAAATCTGGTGTATACCTGTAAGAGGTAGGTAACATTATATAAATAGTGCACGTTTTTGAGGGTAACAGTTGAAATTGACACAATAAGGAAAACCATTGTCAACCGACGCGTCAGCGGAGGTTGACAATGGTTTTCCGAGGGGTGTCAATTTCAACTGTTACCCTCAAAAACGTGCACTATTTATTTTATTATACTGAATGTCTTATTGATTTCGGGTGTCAAAAAAAAATTCGGAGATCGTCGTTAAGTTCACGCTTAGAAAGCTTTCAAACTCCCCGCTTCTATTTTTCTCAATAAGAAAGCTTCGGAAAAGATTTACCAACCTCTTTATTGTTTGTTTGCTACTCAAAAAGTCCTTTATCATCTAAAGTTTGCACTCGCAAGGATGTTTCGTCTGTCGTTTGTTGTTTTCAAGTAAGCTACATCGGATGCAAGCTTTTATTGACGTCGTTTATTCGGCTTCTTTCAAACGCACAACCGACGTTTTGAGAATTCTACGGTGAACCGTACGCGCATGATTTGAACGCATGTGATATTTTCGTAATGTTACCCGTTGTCAAGTGTGTTGCTAACGCTGAGGGTAACATTACGAATTGTTAAATGCTCCTAAACCAATCAGATTTTAGTATTTAACATGAAAGTATAATAAAGAAATCTGGTAACTGTCAGAGGTAGGTAGCTTTAAAATCTGGTAACTGTCAGAGGTAGGTAGCTTTAAAATCTGGTACCTGTTAGAGGTAAGTATCTTTGAAATCTGGTACCTATTAGAGGTAGGTATCATTGAAATCTGGTACCTGTTAGAGGTAGGTAACATTGAAATCTGGTACCTGTTAGAGGTAGGTAACATTGAAATCTGGTTCTTGTTAGAGGTAGGTAACATTGAAATCTGGTACCTGTCAGAGGTAGGTAACATTGAAATCTGGTACCTGTTAGAGGTAGGTAACATTGAAATCTGGTACCTGTCAGAGGTAGGTAGCTTTGAAATCTGGTACCTGTCAGAGGTAGGTAGCTTTGAAATTTGGTACCTGTTAGAGGTAGGTAACATTGAAATCTGGTACCTGTCAGAGGTAGGCAGCTTTGATATCTGGTACCTGTTAGAGGTAGGTAGCTTTGAAATCTGGTACCTGTTAGAGGTAGGTAACATTGAAATCTGGTACCTATTAGAGGTAGGTAGCTTTGAAATCTGGTACCTGTTTGAGGTAGGTAACATTGAAATCTGGCTGTTAGAGGTAGGTAACATTGAAATCTGGTACCTGTTAGAGGTAGGTAACATTGAAATCTGGCTGTCAGAGGTAGGTAACATTGAAATCTGGTACCTGTTAGAGGTAGGTAACATTGAAATCTGGTACCTGGTAGAGGTAGGAAGTATCGTAACTTGATATCTGTACATTTTACAGTTACAAGCTACATAATGTAGTACCTGTTAGAGGTGGACAGTTTCATTTTCTGGGGATCGTAACATAAGGAGTACTTAAGTCTAAGCCCATGCTTAAGAAGGACTTAAGAATGTCTGACAATCTTAGCAAAACTTAGGCGGTCGGTAGAGGTCCTTTAGTATGTCGTAACTTTTATACACATATTTAGAACTATTAAATGTTGATTCTCGGCGTTAAAACATTTCTCTATTCATATTATGCATTAAAGAAAATAAATATCACTATTAAAGACTTTTAAAGAGGTTTAATGGGGGGCATACATATAGATGCTGAATTTTATTTTTGGGATAGTTTTGAAATACCAGTTGGACCTATGTTATAAACGCTATTATCATTAGTAAACTTTACAAGGTTATCATGGAATTGTTATGTTCATTGTGAAAATATGAGATGAAATATATTTTTTTAAAAAAAGAAAAAATAATAATTTTGTGAATTAGAAGATGATGACTAGAAAGCTAAGAGTGTCTGAAAAGTTAGATTAAAATGTATTACACAGCAAGCACGGATTGAGGCAAGGGTTCACTACCGTCAGAGAGAGATGGAGAGAGACAGAGAGAGAGAGAGAGAGAGAGAGAGAGAGAGAGAGAGAGAGAACTGTAAATAACTTGAGACATTTTAAAAAAAAACTTCCTTTCGACCCTTGATTAAATTATAAATAAGTATATAATAAAGGGTCTATGTAGTGTCTTTGCATACCGGCATTCGCTGATTCAAAATTCCCTAATTTTGTTTTACTTAATTTTAATTTATAAGAGTTTCAATTTCAAGAAGAAAGACGTTCGGTTATCGTACCATGTCTGCGAGAATGACAAAGCAAGTGAACATTTGTCAAAAGAAAAGAATAACAACAAAAGGTAACTGAAAACATCGCAGTCTCGAGTGATAAACAAAAGGTATGTACATGTATTTACAAAAATAAATAAATAAAATTAAATATGTGCATAAAATATTATATTATATAAAAGATAATTAAATAATTAAAAAAATAAACTTCATCATAAATTGTTTTTTTTTGGGGGGGGGGGTAGTAAAACATCTTTCTTTTCAAGTGAATATTTTATATAATGTTAAAATTATTGTGACGATACCCCCTCCCCCTCCACCCCCAAGTTCGAATGCAATATATGTTCCATAATCAGCAATTAGAGGACTTCAATTGTCTTCAATTGTCTCTCTCACTTTCTTTTTCTTAATTATTACGTTTTACTTATTAAATAAACATTAACCTTTCTAGATAACCACTGATGTGTAACTTTTTAATAAGGGTACAAATTCATGATTATCACCGTTGTAATGCGGGATGACTCGTACGCACTTTTTGGAGAGATAACTCCTGCAAGCCACCCTGCAAGCGGTACCATATAGCCTCAACATTAAACGATTTTTTTGACAACCGTCAGTACTGTCCATATCAAAGAGATTTTAGCAAAGGCATTTTTTGTACTAAACGAAATTTGACATTCTTTCATACCAATCTTTATGTTTAAAAAGTAAAATCCTAGTGTTAAGAACCCTTTCGTTTGACCTTTAAGTTTTTTTTTACATTCTAATCTGCAAGACAGGTATGTGAAAAGAGAAATAACTCTCGTAAGGTATGGTGAAGTGAGAGACGCGTCATAAAACACCAAACCGAAAGTGGAATACTGGTCAGGTGACAAGATGAAGAACAGTTTCAGATATCTAAGGTACGTTTTCAAAATATAACTTATCATATCCAGCTTTCATCATATCGGTCCATAGCTTGTATTATCTATGCTATTCTTAAAGGGTTTTTGTCACCTCACTTAATTTCTTGAAAATTGAACATAATTATCTTTTTATAATATAATCGTTTTACGGATTAATTGACATGAAACAGTCGTAATTAGGTGTTAAAAACGGCTGTCATTCAGGTTCTCGCAGTCAAAATCTCAACTAACAAAGCAGTGGAATATCTTTTCTTCCGTCTCTTACCATGACAACCAAGACACATTAGCAACAAAAATATGTCTGATATATGTTTCTGCTGTCAAACCATAATAACAAATCAAATATTCATCAAAATCGATGACCGTGCACGCAAAAAGTGTCAGTAGTTATAGAGAATTGCTCTTTATACTTTGATGATAATTTAAAATTTTACTTTGAAACTTTACTCTAAAAGTTTTGAGATTTAAGGGCATAATATTTCATTTCATATTAATAATGGAAATGACATTTAAATATATAAGTAATATTTCCATATGATAAAAAGGCACTTTAGAATTAGAATGTTTTGAATTTCATAGTAAAAAATGACTTTAAGCTGAGCTTACTACAGTAAACTGTAGTAATTATTTTTGAAATGTCTTCGTAAATTTTCAAATAAAGTTAATGTACTTCTTTACTTTTAACCTTGCATGTTAAATATTGTATTCTTGAATTTCAACAAAAAGACACAAAGTCAAATATTTATTGCTCTCTACAATTATCTTTAGTTCACATTAAAAGGAAATATTTGTACATTATAATTACCTATATACCCATTCAAAATTGCATCAAATGAATTATTGTTATTATTCTGTATTTTTAAATTACCATTTGTCAGGACAAGACAATGAGAAATAGATTTGCCGTATAATCCTACTGTAAATGTATCTTTATTTTGAGCAGGTCCCTAAAATACCAAGACGGTAGATTTCCCCTAAACTTGGCATGCATATTGAAGTCAATGTAAGGTACATATGGAATAAAATAAAAGAGTTTCTCCACTGTAGGTTTCACACAATAAAACCCCAGTCGGCAGATTCAAGAATCTTTTGTAAAGAAGATATAGATAATTTTCAAAAATATGCAAAACCTCGTTATGCACTGTGAGTCTGTCAGAAATTGAACTTTTGAAATAAATTTTAGTATAATACTATTTTAATAAGAGTGCATATCCAGAGGGCTATCTATGTACCCTCAAATGACCTTGACTTTGATAAATAATTTTAAAAAAATCTAAAATAAAATAATATATTGGAAACATCATGCATTTAAACAATTTCCTGTATCGATAATTTATTTACAGATTCAAATTTTCACAATAAAGTTAAAGAATGGCTACTACAATCTCCTGGGCTCAGGAGGTCATCACTTGTGACCTTTGTGATAAAACCACCACGCAATTCTGTAACAGCTGTCAAGTCAGTTTATGTGTGGACTGTGTCAGTAAACATGTGGACAAGCACCAGGCTCTCACACATGACATCGTTCCCTTCAAGAACAGGAAGACAGAACACGTGTGAATTTCACTCTAACCATAGATGTAAGAGCCACTGTCAAATGTGTGATGACCTTGTCTGCATGAAATGTGTCAACACTTCCCATAATGGCCATGGCATACAGGACATACGAAAAACTTCAATGACAAGAAAAAAAGATATCCAGAAGGAAAATCATGAAATAGAATGCAATATCATTCCCAGATACATGAAAAAAAATGAACATATAGAAAAGGACAAAGCTATAGCAATGGAAAAAATTTGTTCAAGTTGAAAAAGAAATAGAGAGACACAGAAAATTGTGGCATCAATAAGTAGACAGCATCTTCATTAAGCTCAGATTTTTGCTCAATTCCATGAGAAATAACCACCTGGCTGTACTGAAGATACACCAAGCCAAACTCAAAAATCTGATTCCAGACATGATTAAAACAGTTCAAGAAAACAAAGAAATACCTCAAATCCAAAAGTTGCTAAAGTCACAAACTTCACATCTAGACTTATGGAATACAGAAATATTGGTCTAAATATTTATTTGTCCGTTCCTGCACTGCAAACTAACAAAGTTCAAGGGAGAGAACTCAGTATAGAGTTAGGTGAATACAGGGCTTCACTGACACAGACATCAATCCTCAACCTGCCAGAAGAAGTGTCCTATTTATCTGCAAGAGAGTTATTAGACAAAGCAAGAGTTATTACCATTTTTCCTACTGCAGTTAAACCTCTATACAGACTGGCCTGTTTAGGATCAGATAAAGCTTGGGTTAGTGGAGAAAACAATACCGAACATTGTAAGATACGGGAAAAAAGAGGTATTGATCACGACACAAAAGGACTGGAATCCAGCAGGACTGACCAGTACCAAATCAGGGGACATTCTGGTTAATCTGTATAAAGGAAACAAAAATAAGATTGTCTATTATCAGGGACAGAAAGTGGAACAGGAAATATTTAAAGACGAAAATGAAAAACTAATCTATGGAAGTGGTAAATGGACCCTTTTTGTTGCAGAGAACAACAATGAAGATATCTGTGCCTCTGATCGTAATGGTGACGCTGTAGTTGTAGTGGACAAGACACGAAGAGTCCGATTACGATACGATGGTACACCAGCCATAGGGAAGAAGAAATTTGATCCAAATCAGCTAGTGACAGACTCTCTGAGTCAGATCATTGTAGCAGATTGGACCAACGACTGTCTGCACATTCTGGATCAAGATGGAGAGTTTCTGAGATGTGTGGATAATTGCGAATTATCTAGGCCCCTAGGACTGGGTTTGGACAGCGATGAAAGGGAAGTGGGTGGGATTATATGAAAAAGGAGAAGTAAAGGTGATCCAGTACATGAAATAAACTTATAATGTAACATTTCAGAATATGATCTTGTACAACGTGTGTTCTTCGTGTTTGCATATACACAGAATTACATGTATACCGTTTTGATGGTGAGGGCGTACAAGTTATGTTTTTCATATATCTGAACAATATAAAGCACCCACGGTGGATGTGACCGATTTACAGGGGTGCTTATTCTTCCTAGGCACCTAATCCTACCTCTGGAGTTTCCAGGCGTCCGTGTTTTATGTTCTGCTCACAATTTTGTAATGTTTATGGGATTTATGAGGTCGTGCATTATCCGTCATCTTTTTTTTTCATTTAGAAAAAAAAAACCCTGGAAAAAGTATCACCTAACATAACTACCTTTGTACAATCTGCGAAATACAGTGTTCCGTGAGACCCTGACATTAGAAGATTAAATAGGTGCAATGCTAAAAGAATACCGACAAAGCGAATGTGATTATTAACAAAGAAGAAAAGTTGATCATCTTTCAGTGATATACCTCTGAACAATCAAATCAAAATACTCTTGAAGTAAATAACCATTTCAACGAAGCAACGTAAAGCAAGAACTCAGTTGATGGATTTTTTTTTTCACCAAAAGTTTATAGAATCATTAAGTGCCATTATCTAAGAAGAATGAAGAGGAAAATAGAGACAACGCTATCTTACTTTTGAAAAAAGAAAATCAACTTAAGGCCCGAAAATGCTGAGGTTATGAAATCCTGCGATTTTATGCTTTTACAGGATTGTGAACAACATATTATAAATTTAAAACAAAACAACATAGACAGAAAGGATTAAAAGTAAAATCAACAGCTTGCTTTGTTATCAAATATCAATAGTATTATTATCAAATAAGAAGTACTCATTCTTGAGTAATTTTCTACTTTTGAAAGGGTAGAGTTTGTTAGAATTACATATGTAAGTAAATTTTTTTTTGATAAATAATAAGTGATAATTTATTTCAATAGAAACATTAACAAAGGAATCTTAATTTCTTTATCAGGCTCTCTGAAATTCTGTTCTGTGTTGTCTGTTAGAAACTTGAATACATGTATGTGAAAGGACAAATAAGTTAAGCATGCATATCATGGAGTGATCTACAGGTTATCTGATTTGCATATTCTGATAACAACTACGAAAGCTGATACTTCCGGTTGACAAAGATGACAATAACAAAACTGAAAGTAAAATCATAGTCTACGTAATATCGGGGTGGTTGCTAGAAGAACAGTTTAGCTGATTAAGGTATATTTTCTGATTTACCATATCTGCTTCGATCAATAATTATGTATTAAATCATTTTAAGAGAAATGTACTTTTCGTTTGACACCTTACACGTGCACATTAACTATGTAAACCAGAATTTAGCCATCCCAAAAATAAATAAATAGATAGATAAATAAACAAGTAAATGTATAAATGAATCAGAATAAAAATTGGAAAAAGGAAAGACAAACTTTTCTCGAGTAAGTAAAAAAGAGATACATTGTATTTCAATTAACGTTTTCAGAAAGGCGGATGTAAGAATTTTTTTTCTAGGAAAACATAAAAATTTGACACAAAAAGTTATTTTATTAAGCAAATGAGGGGTTCCTATGCGGGGTCATTTTTTGTCACTTGCAGTTGATGATTTAAATTCAGTAACTCTGAGAATCCTTCAGAGATATTTCTCCAGACCCCTGACCCCTCCCTCCCTCCAATCTGGATCTGGTAATGATTATTTAATTATTCAAAATTACATCAGTGGTCAGGGTAGAATAGTGGTGGGGAGTTCGCGAACGTGATCGGAAGGCCCAGATTCAATTCTCGTTGCCGCACCGCGTCAAACCTACGACGTAAACAAAGGTAGTGACTGTTCCATCGCCAACCGCCCGGCTTGAATTGAAAGTCACGGGTCTTTCGGATAAGATCTTTAAAAACCGAGGCCCCTGTCAAGGTAGGCGTTGGCACGATAAAGAACCCTCACTGCTCAATGGCCCTGAGTGCCGAGTATAGGTCTAATTCGAAGCCCATCATCTTCATACGATGACGTCTCTAAATGAGCGAAAACGTCACAATGTGACAGATATAACAAACATCTTAAATGACAAGAAAAAAGAAACCCGGCTGAAATGTTCACTTTTATTACTTATAACATTTGAAAATGTTCACTCGCATCCCTGAACTCTGGAGTTCATAATCTGCCATGTTTGACATTTCCTCTCTAGTGTTACTCCGTAGTAGAACGTTTTTATAATTTAATCTTAAGTTTCTGGTAATCATGATGACCCTTACATAACCTTGACCTTGATCAGTTGTTCCAGAATTTCCAAAAATAAAATATCGTATTTGAGATACATTGTGCCTCATAACAATTTCCTGTAAAACAATTTATTTACAGATTAAAGTTTCAACAATCAAGCAAGAGAATGGCTACAGATATTTCGATTTCCTGTGCTCAGAAATTCAACACATGTGACCTTTGTGACAACCCTATCCAGCATTTTTGCAACAGGTGTCAAGTCAGTTTATGTGAAGATTGTATTAACAAACATGTAAGGAAACAGAAGTCATTAACCCATGAAATCGCTCCTTTCAAGGAAGGAGTTATACAGATAATTTTTTCAGAGTGCAGGTTTCACCCTAACTGGAGATGTGAGGCCCACTGCCAACAGTGTGATGTCCCTATGTGCATGATGTGTGTCATCACTTCCCATAATGGACACAAGGTGGGAGATATAACAAACATATTCAATGAAAAGAAAAAGAAAATCCAGGAGGAAATTCACGAAATCGAATCCAGTATTCTTCCGAGATCCACGAAGAAAAATGTAGATACAGAAACAGGGATAACCAAATTTATGAATAAATATGCTGAACTTGAGAAAGAAACAGAGAAACAAAGACAAGTTTGGCACCAAGAAGTGGACATCATCTTCAATAAACTGAGTTCTATGATCCAATCCATGAAGGATGACCACATGGCCGTACTTAAATTACACCAAACCAAACTCAAAAACCTGATTGCAGACATGATCGAAACAGTTGATCAAAACAAGAAGATGCTGAAGTCCAATGAAGTGTCTCAAGTCAACAACTTCAAACCGAAAGTGGAAGAGTACAGAGACATTCCTGAAGTCACTGACGTTTTGATTCCTTTATTGAAAACCAACACAGTTCAAGGGAGAGAACTCAGTATTGAGCTAGGTGAATGGAAGGCTACACTGGCACAGACATTTACAAAAGAGTTATTAGACAAAGCCAAAGTTATTGCCACATTTTCTACTGGAATTAAACCACTATTTAGAGTAGTTTGTGTTGGAGCTGATAAATCTTGGGTAACTGAAAAAGGAAGAACTATAAGATGTGTTGACATGCATGGATCTGTACATGATACTGTCACACCAACATTAAACTCTTCTGATGATAGCCCAAAACCTAAAGAGGATGAACTGATATGTATATCAGTGAACAGAAAGGGAGAACTCATGTACAGTGACTATAACAATAGAACTGTTAACATTTACAGACATGGAAGGTCAGAGGTCATGATCACAACACCAAATGATTGGAATCCAGCAGGACTGAGCTGTACTAAATCTGGGGACATACTGGTTAATCTGTATGATGGAGAACATAATAAGATTATCCGATATCAGAGACAGAAAGTGAAACAGGAAATATTTAAAGATGAAAATGAAAAACCAATTTACGGAAGTGGTGAATATATGCTGTTTGTAGCAGAGAACAACATTGAAGATATTTGTGTCTCTGATCGTAATGTGGACACAGTGGTAGTGGTGGACAAAGCAGGAAGAGTCCGATTCCGATACGACGGTACAGCAGCCAGAAGGAAGGAAACATTTGATCCTAATGAGTTAGTGACAGACTCCATGAGCCAGATCATTATGACAGATTGGAAAAATGACTGTCTACATATTATTGATCAAGATGGACAGTTCCTGAGATGTATAAATAATTATGGACTATCTAAGCCCCGTGGACTGAGTTTGGATAGTGAGGGAAGGTTGTGGGTGGGACTATTTGAAAAAGGAGATGTAAAGGTGATCCAGTACCTGAAATAGACATATATATGCAATTGTAATGAGAAACTCGTCAGATGGCGATGGCTTGTGTTCTTTATGTTTGCATTTTATCCCATGTGTGAAATTACGATATCAATTCATAAAAATGATATACACATCTTTTTATGCTAGCATGTGAAAAACTTTTTTGTGTGTTCCACAGAAGAAATCCTACGGTGACTATACAAGGGACATTCAACAAAAAATTAAAATATAAGCACACCCCTCCATCCCAAAAATTAAAACATACTTTAGAAACTTTAATAATGGTTTTATCAAGATACATTTTTTTTCCGGATCGTACGGTGTGATACACTTGAACTATTGAATTAAAAACTCTTGAAATTTTGGCCATTTTGGAATAAAGTTTTATTAAATGTTTTAATAATTCTCCAATTTATAAGGTCATAATACATAGGCACCAGCAAGTAAATTACATTATTTTAAATAGATATGTGGTCACAATGAATGCAAATATAACCTATCGTGTTTTCACCTGAAATTGAAAACTTTAATGTTTTTAAAAAGAATTTTACATGGCGAATTATGACCCTTAGGAAACCTTGCTCTATGTTCATCAACTGGATAGCAACTTTTCCGTAAGAGAAGTCCGAAAACAAAATTCGAAAAGAAAATGACTAGAAGCAAGTCTCTTCTCCGCGATCTATCTTTATATAATTTGCATAATACAGTGTTCCAGGAGACCATATACATACATTGTATATCAAGGACTTTAAACAGAACTCAAGCGAATTTGTGACAAACTAAAAGAGGTGGAAAGAACGTATACTGACAGCAAATGCCATTTTATTTTACTAGGAGAAATCCTGACCATCTTTCAACGAAGCACCCCATTTTCTCTCAATCATAAAATTAAAATACCGCCGATAATAAAGGGAGTATATCTGCGCCGGTGGAACGTTAAGCAAGAACTGTATTTGCTGATGTATTTTTCCAATAAAATGTAATAGTTTTAATAAGTGCCAATATCAAAGAAGAATGGAGAGAAAAAGAAAATAATTTTTGAAAAACTAAAATGTTTCTGCATTAGAAATTGCAAACCGGAAAATAACTGCGATAACATTATTATTAAAAACTAAAAAAAATATTCAACAGAATGTTCAAAGATGGAGGTGAAATCAATTCAAGGGGACCTACATTTATTGTATCGTGTCAAAACACAGGCAAGGAGGTATAATTACAGACAAAAATTTACTGTTAGGCAATTTATCATTACTTTGAACATTTTTACTTTCAATTTTAGTTATCAATGAATAACTAATGATTTGTCATAATCGTTTTCGTGTGTCTGATTTTTCGATCGAGTATCCTCGTACTCGGAAAAAGTGTGTATACATGTAAAAGTTTGTTGATTTACAGACCTGTATACCCCATCGATGTTTTCTTTCGTATTTAATGCATGTACAATTCAATTCTTTATTTTTCTTATGCCATATGGCACATCAGATAGTATGACATGAAATATATAAAATGAAAACTTATATATAATACTTTCAGTAGACTTGCTACATTATGTATATACATATATAGACCTA